TTGAAACAGAGCCACCTCTTCTGTTCTGCGTCGCGGCGTACCCTGTCCTGCCTGGCACTCATGCAGACCAGGAGGCCCTTTGCAGCTCAGGTCACCGTGAGCCAGGGGACAAGGCAGCGCCCACCCACCCCCTGGTTCCTGCTCTGCCCTCTTCGGATGCAGGGAGGTTGAACAGCCAGAGGTTGTCAGACAGGTAACCGGCGAGGATCTGGCCGTTCACAGTCTTCAGTCAGGATGGGTTGAGCCATCTCTGCGGGTTTTTAACAACTTTGTGGGTAGCCTTCCTAGGTGCCTGGTCACACTTGGTGACTTCTAATTCCCCGTCACCTCCCCAGTGCTGTCAAAGCTGGGAGGCTGAGGCATTCTCGATAGCCTCAGATAAAATAAAATATTTGGGAATCGATCCAACAAAAGAGGTGAAAGACCTCTACAGTGGAAAACAACTACAGAACACTAAGGAAAGAACTTGAAGAAGACCATGTTCTTGGATAGACAGAATTAATACGATGAAAATGGCCATATACCAAAAGCACTATACAGATTTAATGTAATATCTATTAAAAATTCCAATGTTGTTCATAGAAATAGAAAAGGCAGGTATCGCTACAATGATGCAGCCACATCCATGTTTATAACAGCTCAATTCACAATAGCTCAACTGTGGAAACAACCTAAGTGCCCTTCGACAGATGAATGGATAAAGAAACTGTGGTACATATACACAATGGAATATTACTCAATCATAAAGAAGAACAAAATTATGGCATTTGCCAGTGAATGGCTGGAACTGGACACTATCCTGCTAAGTGAAATAAGCCAGTCTCAAAAAACCAAGGGCTGAATGTTCTCTCTGATAGGTGGATGCTAACACACAGTGGGGCAGGTGATTAGAAGTTCTTTGGATTAGACAAACGGGAATGAGGGGAAGGGACAGGGGATGGGAAGAGGAAGGACAGTGGAATGATCAGACATAACTTTCCTATGTTCTGATATGAATACACCACCAGTGTAACTCCACTTCATACACAACCACAAAAGTGGGAAGTTAGACATCCCGTATATTTAATATGTCAAAATACTTTCTCCTGTCATGTATAACTAAAAAGAACAAATAAATCATTTTTATAGGTAAATAAAAGCTGTGATGGCCAGGCACAGTGGGGCACACCTGTAATCCCAGCAGCTTAGGAAGCTAAGGTAGGAGGATTGTAAGTTCAAAGTCAACCTCAGCAATTTAGGGAGGCTGTATAAGCAACTTAACAAGATCCTGTCTCAAAACTAAAAAAAAAAATAAAAAGATGGGACTTGAGCTGGGCTCCGTGGCACACACCTGTAATCCCAGCAGCTCGGTAGGCTGAGGAAGGAGGATCGTAAGTTCAAAGCCAGCCTCAGCAACATCAAGGCGCTAAGCAATTCAGTGAGACCCTGTCTCTAAATAAAACACAAAATTAGGGCTGGGATGGGGCTCAGTGGTTAAGTGTCCTTAGTATCCGCCCCCACCCCCAACAAAAGGTTTCCATAGGGACTGGGGATGTAGCACAGTGGTAGAGCACATGCTTAGCATGCAAGGGGCCTTGGGTTCAATCCCCAACACTGCAGGAAAAAAAAAAAAGAAAGAAAGAAAAAAGAAAAAGGTTCCAGGTGAGTCAGACCTCTGCGGCCACCTCTACGCCATCCCACTGAAACCCATGCAGAACAGACTCGATAAAATCTGGGATGGAGATGGGTCATGTCTTGTCTCCCTTCTGTCCTCTGGATTGCGCTGCCTGAGGTTTGGTCGAAGGAGGATATTTTCCCCCGGGGGCAGCTCTTGTAAACCTTTAAAGACACGCATAGTTAATTAACAAAATTATATATAAATAGAAACCTGAGTCTCTGATTCAGAGAAGCAGCCTGTCAACCTGCTGGAGCTTGAGATAATTGCATACCCCCGATTGTATCTTTATCCTTATTTTGAATTTCACAAAGAAATATGGCTCTGAGTCAGCTTCTCAGTCTGACTCCCATTGGCCTCTTTACCCACATCCTGGCTTTGCTCTGAGCTCAGCAAACACTGCTCCGTTTACATCTGGCTCCACCTTTATCTCCAATTCTGCAGTAACCCTGGCTTTCCTTTGGGGAGGTGGCCCCACTTCTCCGGGGGTGTGAGCTCCCCTGCGGTCTCACTGGGTTGGCTGTGAGATGGGCTTCCTCAGCCTCCTGGTGGAGACTGCTTCTCTAGCCCCTGCCTTCTGCAGAGCAATAGCATCCCCCAAAAGGAGGAAATCAGTTCCTAGGAAGAGGAAGCAGTCTTGGAATGGTCTGTGTCCTTCCAGACGGCCACAACACATAAACTGATATGCAGTGTGTCTGCAAAGCCCAAGCAGGAGAAAGAAATATAACCAGCTTCCTCGCAGCTAGAATGTGGGTCCTCTCTGTCTAGGGAGATCCAATCTGGATCGACTCCGAGTGAGGGAGATGTAGAAGGGCTTAGGCAGCCAGGGCAAGGTGGCCAGTGAGGAGGCCAGGGGCAGGGCCAGACGAAGGGGCATGGAGAGGGTCTTCTGATGAGGTCAGCTTCCTGCTTGATGAAAGTGCTGGGGGCACAAGCGGGGGACCCAATCAGACACACACTTCTGTACTCCTTCCCTTAAGTGGGGAATCCAATAGAAAAACTAAAACAGATGCATGGAGAGAGGGGCACCAATCAAAAATAGTGAGGAGCCTGTGGCCAGGGCAGGAGATAGGAAAGGAGGAAATTCCAAAGGCCACCCAGGTCAAAGCTGCCCCCTGGACTCCCGGCTCCAGGGCTCCTCCTCTTGGGGAAGTCTATGACTGTGGCTTTGGCTGTTAGCCAGCTTGCGACCTCTGTGTCCAGCTTTTCAGTTCTTCCCTGAGCAGAGACAAAGAACCCAGCTCCTCTGGATGGTAACATTAGCATCTCCCCAGAACCTCCGCCCTTGCCGCGTCCCCTCCCCCAAGGGCGATTCACTGTTTGCCCTACCAGCAGGAAAGCTTTGCTGCTGTCACCTGTGGACACTCCACTGTCATCTCTCTGCCACTCTCCCTCCCCCACTCACATGGCCCAGAATCCACCCTCCGTCCCAGAGTGGCCCCCTTTCCCTTAACTTCTGGAGAGTTCTGGAAAATGCCCCGACACCCTCTCACACCACCCAGACGATCGCCCCAAACTCTGATGACCGAACCTCCCGGCACCCGAGTTCGTCACRGGCACAGACGCAGTCGGGGGGCTGCCTGGTGAGGATGGAGGGCAAGCAAAGCCAGTGACCCTGCCTCTACCTCCTCGCCAGAAGCCCAGGGGAAGGAGTCACRCCCCTGTTCTTCTCCACTTTCTTCAGAATGTAAGGTCTTCAACTTGTTCCCAGCTTTATCCATTCAGGGGTCACAGGACTCATGACACCTTTGATTTCTTTCAGAACCAGGTGGACCCAGGTTTGCATCACCTTGTTAGCAGCCGCTGTGGCAGAATGCCCTGGGCCACACGGGTGACAGCCTAAACCTTCCTCTCCCCACCCAAACCCAGCCCCCGCCCACACCCAGGCCTCATTCTCCCGGGAAGAAAGCGAACATTTTTAACATTGGTGCTGAAATCCCTAAAGTTCTGAGCTGAACCATCTACCCCCAGTAGGTGATCAATAAATGCGTTGGCAATAAGACTGAGTACAAACAGCCGCCAGCGTTTCTCTGGTTGCCCTTCGGGGAAGGGAGGCCTGGCCAGCTGTTTCCCATGTGTCACCCCTCAGTGCAGAGCGAAAACTTGCACGATGACCACATCTCAGCAAAAACAGCTTTTTAGAAGGTTTGAAACCCTCTGAAGTCAACTGTGCTAATGACCTTAATTAATTAATTATAATTATTATTATTTTTTTTTTGCACGTATTTCTTTCCTGGGAGGAGAATGGACCTGCAGAGAGCAGACCTGCTTTGCCTCTGATTTTGTCACTCCTTGGGGCCTGTTTACTTTTTCCTGATTATACCGGGTCCCCCAACTTTGGAAGTTTGCCTGAGCCAGGTCACTGCAGACTGACCCACAGCTGAAGGAAGGATGCAGAGTGGGCTGGGGGTTTAGGTTTGGGAGTCACAAAGTCCAACTTCCAGTCCTCCTCCAGTCACGCTCTAGGCTAGCTCTGCCATCTCAGGGGAATCCTTGGCCTCTCTGGGCTGGTTCCCTGCTCTGCCAAATGGTGATAATGTCGTCCCCACCGTGTGGCCATTGAGGAGTAATGAATCCAGCCACCTCCTAAGATGGGTTCACTATTATTTCTCTTTCCCTGACCCAGAGCCTTRGCCAGAGGCATCCTGTCTTCTAGTTCTTTCCCTTTCGAGTCTGGGTGTTGATGCTTCCATTCACCACGTGAGAAAAAAGAGAATAAGGAAAGACCATTCTCTTTTGCTCGCTACCAAATTTATTTGGGTGACTTTTCTCTGTCATGGTTCACAAACCGTCCCTGAAGATCTGAATTCTCTGAGCACTGGGAACTTTCCCGTACAGCCCACCCTGGGGGGGCAGGTTGCTCCCCACCCCTGGGGCCCTGTCTGCTCCCTTCCCAACCTGAAGAGTGAACTCCTCCCTCTCTCTTCTCCTGTCGCCTGGCCACTCCCTCTGACCCTGGGCACTGCTCTTTCCTTCTTTTCCCTCAGAAAGACACAGGAATTGGCCTGTTGCTCTCAGGGCCCAGGAGGAGGGAGGGGGGACACTGGGGGAGGTCATTTTCTTCCAGAGAAGTCTCTGATCCTGACAACTTCCCAGAGTCAGATCCAGAGCACTTGGGAGAACCGGAAGAGGCAAAAATCAAGAGCTGGCTTCTGTGAGCACATCCCTAAGGGGGCAGGGTGTCTGCTCTGCCCCTGAGCCACATCCAGTCGTCCTGTCACGGCTTGGCATGGTCCTGCCCTGGGGACATGGATCTGCTACACCTCCCTGCCCCAGAGGACCACACGCTCAGCCCAGACCTTGGGGCTACCTGCTTCCTAGCCTTCCTGGAGTCTGTCCCTGCTCTCTAGGTTGCACAGTCCTGCACCTGCCCCTCTCCTCCACCCTTGACCTTCAGCTCCACACTAACCTCCAGCCTCCAAGGGCTGCAGCCGCCCATCAGCCTCCCCAGCAGCTCCTTGAAATCGGCTTGGAACCTAGATGATGAGAAATAGTAGACAAGGGGGTCCACACAGGAATTCAGGGTGCTGAGGAGCAGCACGTAACTCCTCCAGGTGGGGCTCTGACCCTCGATGTAGCCCACCACGTGGGACATGTTGTAGGGCCCAAAGCACACGAGGAAGTTGAGCAGCGTGGCCACCACGAGCCCCACCACCCTCCTGCGCCTGCGCCGGCTGCTCCCCCTGCTGAGGATCCACACGAGGCGACTGTAGCAGAAACCGCTGATGAGCAGGGGCACCCCAAAAAGGATCACGGCCATCTCCAGCCGGACGGGCAGCAAAAAGGCCAGCTGGTCCTCCCGGAATTCCAGGTAGCAGGTCCCGTTGGATCCCTGGCTGTGGGATTGGTCCCCAGAGAATTCAGCGACGTAGACCACGCTGCAGTGAGAAGCCGCCAGGAGCCAGCAGATGCCACTGACCAGGGCAGCCTGGCCCAGCCTGGGCCGCGTCTTGTACCACATCGGGTAGGCCACGCTCAGGAAGCGCTCAGTGCTCACGGCTGCCAGGAAGAGGGACGTGAGATAGATGCTGGTGAAGAAGAGGAACCCGGACAGGGGGCAGAGGATGAAGGGCAGCGGCCAGCGCATGCCACTGGCCGCCTCCACCATGCGGAACGGCAGGAAGAGCAGCAGGAGCAGGTCCGAGAGGGTCATGTTGAGCAGGAGAATGTCCACCGCCACCGGGCGGCGCCGCAGCTTGCCCACGAAGATCACCAGGGCCATCAGGTTGAGTGGGAGCCCCACAAGGAAGGAGAAGAGGTACACAGAGAAGTACAGCCAGTGGTTTCCCGGGAAGAAGAACCTGTCTGGGCTTGTCTCCATGGTCACAGCCACTGCTAAGAGGGGGAGAGGTGAGTGCACTAGTCCAGGGAGGGGTCTTTCTGTCCCTCACCCATCAGCCAGGAACTCTGTCACCAGTGCCAGCCCCACCCCCACTGTCACACAGCCCCACATACTTTTCCAGGCAGGATCAGCCAGCCTGCCTTCGGGGACCTGCCCTTTCTCCTGTCACTCCCCCAGCACAGAAAGCATCCAGGTGCTCTCCCAGCACCGGGCTCACCTGCTTCTTTGAAGATGCAAGCCCTCTGCTGCACGTCACCTTGCTCTCCTCTCCAGAACAAGTGCTCTGAGCTCTGTATCTGGCAGAAATGCTAAAGACCTAGCAGTGCCCGTGACGTCACTCACTGTGGAACAGAAGCACAAAAGATGCCTTGAGCTCTGTCCCCAGGGCTGTGTCCCTATGCAAAGAAGAAGAGCAAATTCCACCACGGGCCTCCTCCTGAGCCTGAGCAGCCTCAGCCGGGATGTCCCGTCCAGGCCCATGCTCCSATGACGCCGTGGTCCTCTCTCCTCTTTTCCACTTGATTTTGGTCTGTTTTCTCTAGCAATGGCACTTCTCCAGTTTGCCTTGTAAGGGCAGGAAGTGTGATGCGGTGATGGAGGGCTGGGCTCTGGAACTGGCTCTGTGACTCGCCAACTTTGTGATTTGGGGCAAGGGTCCCCCTTCTGTGTACCCTTTCTCATCTATAAAACAGGGATGGTTATAGAAACCGTGTCACCGAGTAAAACATGGGCACAGGCCAGGTGCCTCCAATGGAGCTTGGAACTGTCCCTGTCATGATGCAGGCTTGTCTCTGGAGGGTGATGATGATGATGAAGACGATGGTCCAAGTGACAGAGGTGGCCAGGCTGCTACCGGCTTCATCCTGGTGGGCACCAGATCCATAGCAGGCCCTCTGTTCCTTAGGGGATCACTGCTTTATCTCACTGTGTGAAATCCTTCAGCCTCTCCCTGGGGAAGTGACTTGCTCCAGGGCATAAACCTCATTAAGTARGACCACCAGGGTTCAAAGTCCAGTTCTCTCTGGCTTCAGAGATAATGTATTTATTCACTTAAAGACTGAAGGAGCACAATGTGATGCCATTTCACACCCATTAGGGTGACTATCATCCAAAAGTCAGACAGTTCCAAGCACTGAGCAGCCCAGGGGAGGAAACCAGGGCCCTCATCTGTTGCTGGTGCAGCCACTTTGGAAAACAATTTGGCAGTTTCTTAAAAAGTTACCCTAAGGCCCCACAGTCCCACTGCAGATATCTACTTCGGAGAAATGGAGCCCCCTGTGCACAAAAGCTTGCTCCTGAAAGTTCCTACAAAGAGTGGAAACATCACGGGCTGTCCGCCACCTGTGAACGGATAAACAGACGGGCACATCCGCAGAATGGCATTCTATTTGGSGATGACAAGGAATGAACCACACACTGGAGCCAGGGTGAACCTCAAAACCACCACGCTGAGAGCGGCAAGCAGACATAAGAGACCGCACCATAGGTGATTCCATTTATAAGAAACGTCTAGAAGAGAGACTTTTTTTAGAGACAGAAAGTAGATCAGCAGTTGCCTGGGGGCTGAGGGAGGAAAGGATTAATTGTACATTAATTGTAATTAATTGTGAATTAATTGAGCTTGAGGGATCTTATGGGGTGGGGAGCAGGGTGAGGAGAGCACCCTGAAGTCAATTTACTGAAGATCATTGCCTTGGAGACTTGGCAGGGGTGACTTTTATATGCCAATGGTATCTCAAGTTGTTAAAGGTACAGCCCTGAACAAAGTTTTAGTTGTGGTGTCCTAACTTCTGGTGAGGAGGACAAGCGAAGAGGGAAGTTTGATGAAGACATCAATAYCTGGGAGGTAAAGAAGGGAGAGGGGAACAGGAAGGGAAGGAGGAGGTCCTGGAGTTTGAATCAGAACAAGATATATTCCATGCTGGGTGCGGTGGCACACGCCCGTCATCCCAGCRGCTCAGGAAGCTGAGACAGGAGGATCAAGAGTTCAAAGCCAGCCTCAGCAATTTAGTGAGGCGCTAAGCAACTCGGTGAGATCTTGTCTCTAAATAAAACACAAAATAGGGCTGGGGATGTGGCTCAGTGGTCAAGTGCCCCTGRGTTCAGTCCCTGGTACCATCCCCACAAAAAAAAAGATATATATTCCATGCATGTATAATTATGTCAAATACATCCTACTGCTATGTCTAACTAAAAAGAATCAATTTAAAAAGAAAGATGCAGAGAGACGTCTCAGAGAACATGCCAGAAGAATGGCTGATATACAACTCGACCTCCTGGGCTCAAGGTGAACAGAGGAAACTGKGGCAAATCCTGCAGGGCCTCACAGGACCAGGCAGGAACTGCATTCTCCCCGAAGTGGGAAGAAGCACGGGTCGCTGGGAGCAGCGGCCCAGCACCTCGCAGATGCCCCAGAGCAGTGAGAGGAGAAGGCCGTCCCTGGCACTGTGAGGGTGGGCAGAGGGGCCTCCTGGGCTGGAGTTGGGGTTTTTACTAAAATCTGCTGATGTCCCCTCTGCACAGGGACTGAGTTTATTTCTGTCTTTGGTAGAAACTTATTTAACCTCTCTAGCCTGTTTCCATATTCGTAAGATAGGGGTTCTAGAACATTCTTTGGAGAGCTATTRTGAGCATTTATTCATTCACTCAGCAAACATTTATGGAGTGCCTGTGATGTGCCCATCGCTCTTCTAGGCACCTGTAGACACTGAAGCATGCCAAGAGACCCTTGGGAGAGCCCAGTTTGTACATGCCAGCCACACAGCCCCATAGGGGCTCTGTGAACATCGGTGGCATTATCGAACAAATTTGATTCCCATTCCTCCCCCTCATTAGAGCAGATGCCCAGGTCTCCTACGGCTACTTTTCTCTGTCTTCCCCCTTGTGGGGCCACCCTTCAGCTTCCCCMAATGGGTCACCAATACAGGTATTATCCTGACACTCCAGGTTTTCCCCTGACCCTCGGGGGAGCCTGCTTGGAAAGATCACATCCGACTTATCCCTCTTCCTTGCTATAAGCCTTGGGCAAGTTTGTTAGCCCCACAAAACGAAGATGTGATACACCTGGCCCCAACAGAGGYTACCCCATGCAGGCCTTCCAAAGAGGATAAGGCACCCTTTTGGGGGAGTGCCACCCTGCACCAAGGGGCGCTACTGGAGGAGCCGGTGGTGTCTTTGTTGAAATTAAAATGAGAGGCTCCTTCCCTTGATTGGAAGCAAGGCAGGCACACGGCTTAGTGAGCCCAGCACGGGCTAGTAGTCAGTGTGTGTCCCCTCTGCCTGACGCCCCTGTGCAATGAACAGCCTGCCCATCTGTGCTGCAGTCACCTGGCTAAATCCAAGGGTTGTGTGATGTGGACACCGTGGCATATACCTTGGTCCCAGCTTCTTGGGAGGCTGAGACAGGAGGATCRGTTGAGCACCAGAGTTCAAGSACAGAGTTCAAGGYCAGCCTGGGCAACAGAGCAGACCCTGCCTCTTAAAAAAATAAAGGGAGTGGGAGGGTTGTGTGAGGATAGAATGAGACAAGGCTCATGATAAAGCACTGGGCATGGTGGCTGACCTGGGCCCYTTCTCGCCAAGCATCTTTTCTGGGCCAGCTTCCCATTYAYAGTGCGAATGCTGCCCCCTTGTGAKCTGTAAGTGGTATGGCAGCCTCGTTATCTTGGCTAGTGCCTCCATCTCTTCTTTAGAAATTAAAATGTTCTTTCCTCACAAATGGCTGCAGGGTAGCATTGCACGGTGGTGTTCCTCCGGATTAGAAGCCAAACGTCATCCTCCTAGTGGGCAGGAAGGACGCGAGGGGTGGGCAGAGGCAGGAGGCAAGCKGACGTGTGGAGGTGCCAGCCCCTGGCCTCCACTCCTCTCTCTGGACGGGGTGTTGTCCTCTCCAGGCTTAGCTCTTCCCACAGGTGGCGCCRGGGATGGCTCCGGGCAAGGCTGCCCTGCAGTTCTGATGGGGCAGCCCCGACATGGAGCCTGGAGAAGCCCCTTTCTCCCARCAGAAGCTGCTATTTCTGGAATGTTCCTCCTTGCATTCTTGCCACACACACYGTCCCGCGGCCAGGACCTGCTCCCAGGTAGCCAGTCACCAGTGGATTGAGCACCACACTCCAGGCCCCTGTGATGAGCCCCAGTTTTCGCCACTGGGCCCCCATGTCGGGGCGCAGGAAGCCGGCCACGTTGGAGGCGTTGTAGGGCCCCAAGCAGAGCAGCAGCGTGAGCAGGGCCCCGCCGGCCACCCAGGCTGCCCTGACCTTCCGCCTGTGGCTCAGGCCTGAATGGGCCAGGGCCCGGAGGCAGCCCACGTAAGAGAACGCGGTGATGATCAGGGGCACAAAGAAGAGCAGGAGGGAGAGACTGAGGCGGGCGGGGCCGGCAGATGCTGGGTCCCAGGCCTCCAGGCAGATGGGGGAGCCGTTGGCCACTCTGTTGATGCCCAGGGAGCTGGTGGTGTTGTCCAGCCAACCTCCCGGAGCCTCCAACCCAAAGACCAGCCCCAGATGACACAGGACGAGGGCCCATATCACCACRCAGACGCCCCAGGAGTAGCGCGGCCGCCGGAGGGCTTGGTAGCCCAGGGGGAAGGCTGCGCCCAGGTAGCGGCCAGCGCTCAGAGCAGCCAGGAAGCCCCCGCCAGCGTAGAGCGGGGCGAAGTGGACTAGGGAAAAGGCAGGGCACAGYTGGACCGGCAGAGGCCAAGCCCCCAAGGCCAGGGCCTCCACGGCCTTCAGGGGCAGAGAGATGGCCAGCAGGAGRTCAGAGCAGCCCAGGTGGAGGGCGTAGACCAGGCTGGGAGTGAGGCGGTGCCGGGCGTGGGAAGCCGCGCTTCTGATGGCCAGGACATTGAGCGGGAAGCCCAGGGCAAAGGCGGCCACGTAGAGGGCGAAGGAGAGCTGCGGAGGCAGGTTCATGAGGCAGCCGCTCCTGCACTCCGCTTGGTCCCACTTGGTCTTCAGATCGCGACCAGAGAGCTGGCT